ATATACATATATATATATATATGATTTATATTATATTATATATACATCCACATGGATATACTGTCAAAAATGTCAACAGAAATTCTGAGATATGCAACAGACTCCGGTTAATCTTCAGGACTTAATTTAAGACCTAAATCCATTTCTATATTTTTGTTTCAGTATGAAATATATTTACGCTTAAAGTAATTATTGTTAGCAACAATTTTTAATATATTATTTGTAGTTTCTATAAATTATTCGAGCATTAATTATGTCGTGATTGCGACAACAGTTGTTCGTCCCTTGGACTACGGAGTTTGACAAAGTTATCCTGAAGAAGACGATCGTCATGTTTCGCATGCTGGATAACGATTGGACATCGCTATCGCCAAACCGACGCGATTCTCGCCCTTATCAAGGATCCAATTACGAGAATGAAAAATTTTATGGCGGCAGTTCCGTTGTCTTTTCTGTACCGATGGATTTCTTCGAGAAAGAAGCGAACGGCGTTGATGTCCAGTTATACGTTCGGAAAGAAGTGTGCAAGTATTTTGAGATGGTCTCGCGCCAGAGAATCGGCTTCGTCGCTATATCGGTCGATAATCTGCTGAACAGCATCGCCAAACAGATTCGCGAGCGGAACGAATTGACGGAACACTTGTCGGACTTCTATAAACGACAGATTATTTCGAGGTGATAACACCGAAAATCGAGAAACCGCTGATTGTTGATGTGGGAGGGAACTTTTTACTTCGAAAGCACTTTTCGATCTTACTGTCTGATCGCGATTGCTTTGGGTAGTATTCATTCGAAATTGATTATCAAGGAAGAGTTAATGTTATAAATGTGTTGCTCTCGTTAAAATATTACTATTTCATTTATTATATTCTTTATGTTAGCGTTATACATGCAATATTACTTTTACAAATAATACGATTACGTGCGTTATATTAGAGTGTATTAGGCGTTCTAAAAAAAAATGTCTGAGCGATTGGCTAGGAAATCCGTAAAAAACTACTTCCTTGGAAGGTAGTACCATTTTCTTTCAAGGAAAATAGTACTGGCTAGTGAGGAACATCCTGTGTAATCCTAGAGGTTTAATAACACGGTGTATACGTTATTTTAGGTCTATGATGGGAACGTACACTTTGTTAGATGAGAACTTCCGGAATACCGCCGCCACAATTTCGCTCTACATTCGGATCAGTTATCTTGGCAAATGCCTCATAACGGAGATCACGCGAGTCAAAAGTATACGCGAAGAATTTTATATTCGCGGAGACTTGAATGAGAAACAGCCGTATTTCTCTCGACAGCTGACATCGAAGGAACTTCAAAGCGGTAGTTGGGACGATGATGGTTCACTTCGTGTTCTTCCTGGTCGTTTAACATGCCGCTGTGAGGAGCTCGTTAAAAAGGAGGCCGCGGATTTAGTCAGTAATTGATTTAATCGCTTTAGACAAGATGCTATTATAAAATCTTTATGTTTTGGAAAATATGAGAAAATATTTTGCTCAATTTAAAAAATAAAGCTTTCTTTTAAATGAATTAAGCTCTTTCTTAAATGAAACAGTATTCTAATGCTCTCTCAATGGCTAAAAGTAAAGCCTTTTTGCAAAATATATTTAAAATAGATAATAAAAGTCTACTTTTGGAATAAGATTTTCTAAAATGAATGATTCACTGATCTAGTGGCTTCATCAGAGCTACTGTAACAATTTAGATAGGTATACATTTTGTCTAAGAATAAAAGATGTGATTGCGAACACAGTTTATGGATCAATACGTAATTATTAGTCGTAACAAGAGGAACTGCTGCAGTTATCGCTGGAAATGCCAAAACAATAGTTGCTACAATAGATGTCATTGCAATCGCAATGAGAACAATTACTGTAAATGCAGTTGCAGATCTTACTGATCTGCAGATTTCCGTTATTAGAAGTTGCTGTGGATACTGTAGCAATTAAAAGAAAAAAGTTTTTGATAAAGTTGCGGATTTTGTTGCGATTTCTGTTTCGAAAGTTATTGTGGATGCTGTCACGATTAAAAGAGAGAAAGGACGTACTGATACAGATTTTGCTACGATTTTCGTTGCGAAATTTGATGGGAATGCTGATGCAATTAAACAAAGAAACGTATTTGCTAATACAATTATAGACTATTCTGCGAATATACTTTCATTGCTGCGGATATCCTTACGATTAAATGAAGAAATGCACCTGCAAATGCAGCTGCAAACTCTGCTGTGATTTTTGTTGCAAAGGATGTTGCTGCAATTAAAGAAGATAATAATATCTCTCGATACTACGACTCGGTAATAATACTGTTATAGACACTACTGCGATTCCAGTTTTGCGAAAATTATTGATTATGGAGTATATTAGGTAAGAGAACAGATGAAGACACAGATGTGAATATGCTTGCAAATGCATATGAGAAAATTACAATACCCCAATAATAGCGATCGATAATGAAATAATTAATGATGAGCAAAATGATATTCAGAGAAAGAATCTTATTCATTCTTCAATTAAAGATAGATATACTTTGAGAAATAGTTGTGTTTTGAAAATTTCTATTTTACACTTTATCTTTTAATTCTAATAAATTTTTCTAAGAAAATTATATTATATTGAAGAAAAAGTGAGATTAATTGTGAGAAGAAAAATGTGGCAAAAATTGAATTATATATATAGAGCATTTTTTGTCAAGTCGGCCATCTACCGTTTCAAAATTGCATTTGACATAGGAAAACCACTTTGTACACAAATGTAGCTTCAGGCGTAAGCTATCCAAAGCCATGTGAACAATTGCAAAATTCAAGATGATGAATCCAATATGGCGGACATAAAGCAGAATAAAAGGAAATAAAATAAAAGACAATGTCGGTACTCGTTGAATTCACTTTAAAGTTTGTTTTCAAGTGTGTCGCGAATTCTGATTACAAATCTGTTGTCAAATTTTAGAAATTTAAAATAGCGGACATAAGAGTGCAAAATAGATGAATCAAAAAGCTCTCTGTATTTCATAGGATTGAGACTATATAACATGTGTATGTATAATACATAAAATCTGCATTTTTTTCTCTTCAATTGAAAATAAAACAAATAAAAAATTAAAGAAAAATGTTTTTCACTTTAAGCGTAAAGTTATGTTTATCACGAATAGATATTTAACATAAAAAGGATAAAATACGTATTCGCAGTAAAAATTTCATGAAAAATAGAAAACGAATACATTTCACCATTTTCAAAGCTTTTAATGTAAAATTAAAGTAAATTTTTATATAATTTCATATTTTGCGTAAAAAATGAATTTTTAGTGCAAAAATGAAAATAAGGGGAATAATCTCCAATGGCCTTGATCTTGACAAATGTTATCTAGAACATGATTCCAAGCAACATTCAAGAGCTGTCGGTCGGACATCTTGCGTAATGCTAATGTCGGTGATACTATAACTTTCGAGTCTTATAACTCGTAAAGTACGTAATGAAAAATAACTTTATTACATTGTTTTGAAAAGTTCTTAACACCAGCTATTAGATTTCTGCCATCGAAAATAGGATATTTCATTAAAAAAAAAATCGATGTAATCTTGACTCGACCTTAGCGACGCCACTCAAGATCAAATCAAGATCAAATCACACACACACACACACACACACACACACACACGCACGCACGCACGCACGCACGCACACATAATATAAATTCGGCCCACCTAATTTATTTTACTTTTGTTAATTTTATTTATAGGAATATTGAAATAAATTAAGTGAGAATCCAATCTTCATTTCATTTATTCTAAAAAAAAAATATTATTTATATAGAATATGTGTAAATAAACGAAAAAAAATTTTGTTGAATTCTGACATTGAGTTTTGTTACATGCATATGAATGTAATAAAGCCCAAATCAAAAGTATTTAAATTAATAATAACAAAGAAAGTAAACATTATCTTTTTGAATCAGTTTTAAAATGATTATTAATCGTAGAAAGGAAATTCCTTAGGACTTACTTTACTCTCAAATATTACAATTATTTTTAATTTTGTCTGTAATTATCTCTTTAATCTTTAGAAATTTCTAGCAATTTGAATACAATTTTAGCTTCTTAAAAGATAGCAGCATTCAAAATTGTTATTCTCTGGCGTAAATTCTATACATATCAAACAAATAATAATAGCTATAATAATAATCACATAAGTGGGTCTTATTTAATAAGTACATTGTTTAAAAATAAATACTTATTTCAAAAAATTGTTTCATTGGTTATTTTCTATAGTTAGGAAATTCAGA